ACTACAGCTGAGTGTGGCATTCAAATCCATTAGTTCACATCAACAAACCTGGAAATATGGAGACAAATTTCAATTTACTTCTTATATATTATTCATGGCTTGCTATGAAACATTATGAAGTTAATTTAATTGAGCTGCAATTAAAATACCCATTTCTGGTATTTTATTTACCTATCTGGTATAGGTAAACATGCAAAATTTAAAACCTTAAATGAAGATGGTTGTTGTCACTGTTTCTATAAGCACTGAGATGAGGAAATAGGTTTCTAAAATAATAATTTTTGCTTTTACTTTTTTTGTATTTTACATTTTTTTGCATTTTACATTTTGCTTTTACATTATTTCACATCTTTAACAATAGAAAAGCTTTTCTCTAAATGTTTGCTCATTTGTATTCTTGACCCTGAATAATTTCAGAAGGAAGAACAGCCATGCCTGGTTCTCAGAGTCCAATAATCCAAGCAGATTCTTTCAGCTGTTCCAAGCATGGAGCATGAGCTGTTTAATGTCAAATTTATTTATTTCAATATATTTGATTTTACATGGGATTTTGATTTAGTGGAATGATACATAATAAATAGCAGAGTGAACCTTGCTAATGAACTTCATCACACTTTCACTTTCACATTGAACCTGCTTTTGCCAGTGATACTTTGAGCAACCTAAAACACTCATTTATGGCAAAATCACAAAAGTAATATAAGGTTACACTTAACAAAATACAGCAATATAAGATTTCAACCACCATACCTGTGTGAACTCCATTGCCCTCTTGGTGGATTAGAAAGTGCAACTTGCAGAGATTTTTACCCAATCTTGTACATTGATTCTCTCTTTCCTATCTGAATTTTTTGGGGGTCTGTATTATGGTTGTTAAGGGGTGAGCCCCCCATTTAGGAAAGCAAGGGACATTAACTACTACCCATGATGTTTGATGTTCTGGCAGCCATGGCATCATCTGTCTTGTGCAGAGCTGGCAGACAAAACAATTTATAGGAGGAAGCTGAAGATAAGTGCAATGGACATAATGGACATAAGCACAAGTGTTTTATTGAAAGGGATGTCAGAGAGCCTGATAAATGAGTGATGGACATCATGTATGTTTAGGAAAGAGATGTCATTCTCTAAAGGTGGTGTGGTGGAATCCTCTTGCTTCTGTTTTTATTGAAGATTATTGTTATCTCACTGAAAGGGGGGAGAAATTTTCTGTACACTCTCTTCAGGATGGGGTGGGGGAAGAAACAGCTGGAAATATTTTGGTGAATTTCTGTGCACAGATGCTGGACAATCTGTCTTCTCATGCAAACACAGATTTCTGGCTGCAGCAGTAGCAGCAGCAAAAAATCTGAGCGAAGAACACAAGGATGGCTTTTTATTTGCCTCACCTTATTACTTCAGCCACAATCACAAAAGAAAGATTATTGGAATAAGGGTATGAAACCTTTGCTGACAAATTCTGTAGAGACTGCTGAGACTGGTAGCATTACTAAAATACTACCTCTATTTCTACCCTCTTCATTTCAAGAAAGGTATGAATATATAAAAGAAAACTTAGAAAAGAGCTGTTTTTTCCAGTGACCACTTTAAATTGTCCCTGGGGACAAATTCTACCCAATGTTTGGGCAGCAAGGTAGGGTGGCTGTTGTCTGAAACCTAACCTATGGATATGTAACTTTGGAATGCTCCTGCATAGACCAAACTTCCCTGGAAACTGGAGAGGAAACTCCAGTTGCTCTCAGTCTGCCCAGAACTTGAACAGCTCTGCATTAAGGTAATGACTATCATTAAAATCAGCTTGGCCTGTCTTACCTTAACTCCATGGAGCTACAAAGTAGAAAACTGCAACAGATTTGCCCAAACAGCTATAGTTTCCCGAGGAGTTGCCAAAACATCTCTATTGCTCTTTCAAAAGTCTCTGAAGATCAATAAAACCACTTACTAAGTTGATGCCTTTACATATTTTCCCTGGAACAGGCAGAGAAAAGAATCAAAAATTTTGCCACCACATTCAACTCTGGAACTGCTCAGTACATTCATCCAAATATTTTTAATGGATGAGAGTACTGAAGAAACTTGCAGACAGAAATCTGACATGATGTTGTAGAAGACACAAAGGACTCATAATTTAGTTTTCAGGGATAGGCAGGTGAGAAATCTCTTGTTAATTTGCCCTAGACTTGAGATTAGAAGTGCATGTCCAAAATAGTATCAATTGATAGACTCCCAGGACCTTGATTAAAGTGTCTGTTTAGCTATAATATTTAAGTTTGAAAAGCATGTGGCTGCTGTCAGGCTGGTTTTAGCTGGTGGTTACTAATGAAAGTATTTAAATACAGTTCCTGCATCTTTGAAATTTTTACCATAAATATTGAATAATTTGTTCACTCTAGCTCCAACACAATAGATCTCTTCTCCACCACTTGTAGCCATAACCTTGACCTCTGCCTAAAGCTGCTCAGGTTGTTTGGTGTGTTCTTCTTAGGGGAATATTCACTCTAAACATGAATTATAAAAGCATATTTTGTGATGTCTTCCTGCACCACCTAAATTGTGGGGATTTCTCATGTTGAGAGAGAATGCTTAGCTCACTGATGGCTTTGGACAGTGACATTGTAGACTTGTCAAGCACAATAACCCTTGGTAGGTTCAGGGCTAAGATGAAATGGTGAGATTCTCTTTCTGGTACTTTCATAGAATCACAAAAAAAATTTGTGTAGAAGGGGACTTTAAAGGTCATCCAGTTCCCACCTCCATGCCATGAGCAGGGAACCTTCCACTAGAGGTTATTTCTTTTCAAATAACTTATTTACACATGGGGTCTCTTTTGAGTCCTGAGGAAACAGTGGATAGTGCAAACATTGCAAGGTGAGCAGAACCTGAGGAACACCAGAAAGCAAAAGGACAATTTCCACAAGGCCTTTGGGGAACCTGCTCTGAAGGATACAGTGCTACTACAAAAGTAGGAAAAAGCTCTTATTTCCAAGGGGTCATTCTATTTCTACACAGGAACAGTGACACATGGAAAGTAAAAGAGAGATCTGCACCACCACTAAGGAGCAATGCTGGCTCTCTCTACTGCTTACTCTCAGAAATTCCCTGGGAGCTCTGCATTCACAATATTTCCTGGCTGGAGGCTTCCAATATTCCTTTGTTTCTGCTGTTCTTTTATTTAAGTATCAAACTCCTCAAACAGAAAGGAATATTCTTCCACTGTGTTCCAAGCACCCCTGAATTTCTAATGGAGTTCACATAAATTCAGGCAGTTTTACCTGGAGGAATTCACAGTTCCAGATTATCAGAACTGTCAAAAGCTCCCACCTGTTCACTGTTTTAACTCATCACCATTTACAGACTTATCAAATTCTACATTGCTTCAGGAGCTAAACTGGCTTTTGGACAGGCAGGAAGAAGCTGCAACATCTGGATATCACCATTCTCCTTCCAACCCCACAACAGCCTGCTAAGGCAATTTTAATGCTTAAGCAAAACTAGAGAATCAGTCAGACTTTTAAATTAGCCCTATGGTGAATTCAGCTGGTTTTGTATGATGCTGAGGTGACATAATCACTAAGGATATGTACATGCCAGGTGTGATTTTGTACAAAATTTCTGCCCCTGCAATGGAAATAAAGTGCTCATCTTCAAAATGTTTCTATGTATAAACAGAGAACTTGGTGTTGCATTCAAACAAATATTTTTTAATTGCAAGGATCAGAGAGATTAATGTTTAAAATTCTCTTACATGGCTTTTCTAATCTTTCCTTCTTTTCCAATATCCCAGAACAAAGCAGTCTTACCTCTTCTATAAGAAACATTTCCTTTTATGGTGCTATAGAGAAATATTTGAACTACCCCTCTGGAAAGTCCAAGCACAGGAGAATAATTTTATTTTTTTCACAACCATTAAGGTCTCTCAGACACCAGAAGAGTCAGCAAACAAGCACTTACTGAGACCTGTGGTTAGCTTGAAAGCCCTGGACAGGGAAAAAGAGACTTGTGACACTTTTCTTCTGAACAATTTAGAATTAATTTAGTAGCTCTATGCTGAAGTGTGTGAGTTTCACCTGCTTCACTAAAGACTGGCCAAATCCTAAACCACAGTAAATGCTGCCATCTAACGGAACAAAAGCTGATGCTTCATTCCAGAGCCCATTCCAGCTCACACTGAATAAAATCATTTCCTGACCAGCATCTCTGTGCATGGAACAACTCAGGCTGGATGGGAGACAGACCCACCTGGTATTTCTGTGTTGCACTGCCCAGGGCTGCTGACCCCTGAGCTCTCCTGAGAGCTCTGCAGACCTTTTTGTATGAACAGAAACTGGCTCTGAAAGTAATCACAGAATCATTAAAGTTGGAAAATACTCCCCCCAAGATCATCAAGTCCACCCTTTGATTGAACACCTCCATGCCATTAAGCCACAGCACCAAGTGCCACATCACCTCATTTTTTAAACATTTCCAGGGACAAGGACTCCACCACTTCCCTGGGGGGGCTCTTCCAATATTTGACCAAAATAAATCCAGTTCAAACTGTACTGTATCTGAGCTCTTTAACTCTTCACTTGCCTGTGCCTTTATATGTCCTGAAAATAGCTTAATTTTGACTAAATCTGTCCTATTTTAATAGTTTTTAATAAGGTAAATGACAGTAAAAATTCATTACCTTATTGTTCTTGATATTCTTGGCCTGAAAATTCTAAATCTTTTCCAACTCCCTGTGAATAGAAAAATATTTTCAGTTTTCTTTTGCTAATAGGTAGCTACTTTGGGAAAATTATATTAGTGTTGTTCTATCCCTCAATAATAGATTATGTCTTGTAATAAATGAAATTGAAGATACTTATTAGAAAATAGACAAAAAATAGGGTAAGCATCTGAAGTCTTTATTGAAGAATCTAAAGCAGTCATATTCCAAACTGCAAAAAAAAAAATCAGTAAAATATTATTACACATCATTCATACTTCTTTTTTTCAGAATCAAAGAAATAAATGCTTTCTCTAACTTAAATGAATGTTATCTCACAAGATACACCATTAACTTCTTTTCAGATTACTAAGTAGTGCTTTCTAGGGATAATGATGGAATTTTATGTACAATTATTCTTTCTTGGGAACAATATCTTTCGCACAACATTCTTTGAATTTGATTGTGATTACAACAATTTTCATACACTGAATTATACAAAGGACAAATTATGTACAAGTTTCAGGTACAGGCAACTGAGGATGATCTGTTAAATCCCTTTAGGTGTTTGTGTAAAGACACCTCAAAAATTCTTAGGCATAAACAAATCCATTCAAAGATGTTAGGAGGAGAATGGTCCCAAAAACATCAAAATTAGAGGCTGATTATACTCAAGTGCCTTGAGTGAGCTCTTTTACAGAAGTGCAGTAATTACTTAATTTTGCTACAATAAATCCTGTATGGAAAAATTAGTTCTTCACAAAGACACATACCTTATTCTATATCCTTGTGTGGTTATAAATAAGTGCTCACAACTGATCTTTGACTTCTTCTGTAGACACATGAACTAATATAAAAATGACAGCTTAAAAAATTAACTCACCAACTCCAGTAGCTGAGGAAAAAATTCCATGGTTTGATTTTCCCCTAACATTTACGATATAATTGTTCAAATTTTCATTGCTTTAAGAAGCATTTGCAAATCTGAACAATTAGAATACATGAAGGCTGTTGTTATTATTCTAAATTTAGTGTATTTGTGGGATCAAAATATGGTCTCCATCTGAAAATAAGTGACATTGGTTTAATTGGAAATGCTGCAGCTGAGGGCAAGCTCATGTGTCAAGCTGATTGCTGTCTGTCTCAGCAAAGCCATCATAATATAAAGGGAGAGATATGGAAGAAGCAGGACGTAATTTATCTTTCTTCCTACCATGATTTTCATCAAGCAGTGATTCAAGAATACTTTGCTTGTCCTGTATTTCTCGTTCAAAGACAGCATTGTTATGTTTACAATGGTATAAGGATAAATTTTCAAGAGAACGTTGTCTCAAATACTTCCTGAAGGCCCTTTGAATAACAACAGCTGACACTTCCTCTTGTTTTCTTTTAAGGGTAGAGGAAATTGGGCTGTAACAACTTTTAGATTGATTGGCAGCTGCAATCTTTTCTTCCATGTTTAATTCAAGATCCTCCAAATCTCCAGATTCTCCCAAGACCCTTTTAGTGAAAGCCAGCAAGATATCCAAGTAGTGGATCTTATCTCCACTAACTATAGGGATGTCCATGGATATGAGCTGGATTTTGTTAGGCTTTGGGATGCGCAAGGGCTCTTCCAGTGCATCTGCAAAGTCTGAAAGAGCAGAATAATCTATGAACTGCGTTGCCAGAGGGTCAAACTTTCCCCACGTCTCATAAAACATATCAAAGTCATCCTCACAAAGAGGATCTGTGCTTTCCTCAGTGGCAACACTGAAGTTCTCTAAAATGACAGCTATGTACATATTTACAACAATGAGAAATGATATAATGACATAGCTTACAAAATAGAAAATACCAAAGCCCTTACTTATGCAATTATTTTTCTCTGTCTCTGTTTCATTTAACTGGGGAGCACATGCTCCAGATCCTTTTAGCACAGGGGCCAGAAGACTATCCCAGCCAGCTGATGTGGTAATTTGGAAGAGGCAGAGAATGCTACCACAAAATGTTTGGAAGTTGAAGATGTCATCAATCCCACCATCCCAGTGGAGACAGGCAAAGTTGGCCATGCCCACGATGGCATAAATGAACATTATCAGGAAAAGCAAAAGGCCGATGTTGACCAGTGCAGGAAGAGACATCAGCAATGCAAAAAGAAGAGTTTGAATTCTTCTGGCTCCGTGAATTACTCTCAGAACTCGGGCAATTCGTGCCAAACGAAGAGTTCTCAAAACCGAAGGGGAGAAGAAAGATTGAAATGCTTCAGAAACTCCAAGACCTTTGAAAGGAAGAAGAAAAAAAAAAATGTTGCCAGGTCAAGTTAGTCAAATTTATGTCTGTTTTGTTATATTCTGTGCTTTAGGTGTTAGAAGTAACACTGATCATATTAATCTGCTCTCAATATAACCATCATCAATTCTGAAATTCCTCAGATAAAAGCTTAGGTAAAAAAAGAAAAATTGTAATATCTTTCAATATTAAAGAGGCATCACGATTTCTGCAAAGTTTGGAAGCAGTATTCTTCCAAGTTTCTCTAATTTGGGGAGTGAATTTATTCATTCATTGCTCAAGTACCTAAAAAATCCTGTGAGGTCCTGTGCTGGGACTGTCTCTGAGCCACTCTCTGAGTGCTGCTTCTTCTGCAGGCCTAAGCCTAAATGTGAGACTTTGACTAATGCTTGTCCCTCAAATGAGATCAAAGAAGAACAAGAAGAAAAAAAGGAAAATTGTCTTTCAGTCTTCATGTCCCATAACACCTCATTCCATGGCCCTACTACCACAGCAATGACACAGCAGCAATGCAAATGATTGCAAACAGAAGAGTTAAGAAGTCATAATTTTTCTGGCTTTTACAGGATGGCAAAAGGCTACCATGCTAGAATGGTAGAAGCAAGAAGCAGAGAACTCAGAGCAGCTTTTCTTTCCCATCCTTTATTATATAATATGACCTGAGTAGGAAGAACAGAGAAAATACAAGAAACTAGAGCTGTATACGACCCTTTGCAGAGTAAATGATCAGCATCTAGTCTTATTTAAAGAAACAAAAATACAAGATTTTTCAATAATTTTTTTCAGTCACAAATAGTTGTCCAGATTTAGAATTTTACAAAGCTTTCCAAATCTGCAATTGAGCTCTGCTTTCTTAAGAGGAAATCCTGGAAAATTAAATTATTCCCCATTTTTGATGCAATATTTTACAATGTATTCTACAATTGTACATTATAATGTGCAAGTGATACAAACTTTATGCCTTTAAACTTTATGATGCAATACATTACTGCAGTATTTTTAACCTGAATTTTCTTTTACTGTGAAAACAACAGCAAATGTGACAACATGTAAATTGAAAGTATGAAAAGTTAAACAACAGTTTAAGTACAATAACTTAAAAAAATATGTTACTGAATTAAATTAATATTCTGTTAATCCCTCAATAAAAATAATACTTAAAAAAATTTGAAGACTCCATTTCCCATTTAGTACTCTGCAAAAATATAAGGGAAAACAAAAATACATCCTTTTAGAAGGGGTCACTTAGCAGACAGTTTGAAAAAAATACAACAGGTCTGGAATTTGTTTATCAAACACATGTAGGTGGTTATTTCAAACTGGAATTTGGCTTAATATTGGTAAGACAATTACCTGACCTAATGATTGATACTTACTCACTATTGAAAGGACCACAACACTGAAATCAAACACGTTCCAGCCGCTTCCAAAGTAGTAGTGCCTTAAGGCCAGTATTTTTATGACACACTCTGCAGTGAATACAGCCACAAAAAAATAGTTGATTTTATTAAGAACATCCTTGGTGTCTTTGTGGTTGGTTTCTGCCATCATAACAATCACATTTAGAAAGATGAAAGTCATAATGATGATGTCGAATATTTTGTGAGATACAATGTCAAACAGCAATCCTAGGAATGCATTCTGTGGAGAGAATGAGAACTGCTTAATGCCATTGCTGAGACCCAGCCTGCATTAAAATATTAATCACTAATTTGTGCTTATGAAAGGAATCTAAGATAACATAAATGAACAGAAAGCTACTAGATGCATTTTCATGTGATTTCTTTAGACCCTCAAAGAAAACTCACCTTACTTTCAGTGTTTTCAGGCACCAGGCAAGCACATTGGCTTAGAAAAAAAATATGTGGCAGGAAAACATCCAGAGTACATTGTGATTGCTCTTTTAATAGAAATACTTATTGAAGCAGATATTTTAGGATAACCAATTCTAATTAAAATGTCTTAACAAGGAAAACTCTGAGTAGCTACTGTGCAAAGCCAGGCCTGGAATTAAATTTAAGAAATTGCAAGAAATAAAGCATAAGATTATTTAAAAGCAAATAACAGCCACGGGGCATGTACTGCTCTCTATTCATTCTCATCTGCAATAATCCAATCTAGCTGCAGAAGCAACATCATGCAACTTAAATAACCAAGATCATGTTAAGAATATCAAATACTTAATATGAACTGATTTAAGAAAATTGTACATTTGAGCAGGTGATAAATAGGTTGTAAATTTTCTTAATTAATACCATCGAAGATGACTGTGTTAGATTGAATTTTTAAACAAAAGACAGTAAAATCTAAATACTATATTGACAGAGGAAGGTGAGGGACTCTAATGCAAAGTTTTTTTCCCAATGCCTGGCTACTGAGTTTAAATATCATATTTATATGATGTCATGTTCTTCTTAAGGTGGTCTCACCGATGGTCTTGGGATGGGTTTTTGGGGTTTCTTGGATCCAAGTTTTTTTAGGGCATTATGGTACTTTTTCTGTTCCTCAGTCAAAAATAGATCTTTTCCACCTAAGTAAAGAGGAAGAAGATTGTTGTTCAGATGAAGTCAAATAAATATCAACAAATGTATGTTAAAGACAGTAAGTTACAGTTGCCACAAGTTGGACCTAAGAGAGCACAGAGACCAAAGTCATCTTCACAATTTCTCCTATTCCCCTTGATCCTTCATCTGATCTGATTTGACCATGAAGGTCAAGTCCAGGCAGTGATCCCAAGTCAGTTCCCTCAAGTGTGAGAGCCTTTCTGGAGTTTGGCAAATCTATTTCCTATTTTCAAAATTACATAAGATTCATCAAGAAGTAGAATATTTTATAATTTTGGGAAAAGTAGAAGCAGAAGTGCATTGCTGGACAAGGAAGTAAATAGAGGATGGTGAAGAAGCATTTTGAGATCAAATTCTACAGGGGGTTCCTGGCAATGAATTTCTGATTACCATCCACACCACCTGTCTTACTGAGCAATCACTTGTAACCCAGTGGTCCAAAATCACTCATCATAAAAGCATTGAGTGATCAGCATTTTGTACAACAAACACATAACAATGTTCAGCAGGCATCTGCAATTGGAATCACTCCAGCAAAACCTCTAAAAATTCTGCTTAACTGCACTACATGGAATCTAAGTGAAGAGCCCAAAGAAGCAGATAATAAATGAAAGACAAAAATTAAAAATAAAAAAAAGTCGGTAAGAGCATGTACTAAGAAAAGAAAAAAAAAGTGTTACATCCACATAAAGTTCTAGCAAATGTTCAAGCATATAAACTACTTAACCATTTTATCTATCAGGATTATTGTAACTGGGACTTTGTTATAAAAGGATATTCTTACAGTGAAGTTGGACTGCTGTTCCTCAATCCCTACACATCCTTCCCTGCCAAATTCAGAGAACAGAAGAATTTATTGTGGGCATTATTTCTATCTATCTTTCTCTACCAAAAGCAGTAATGCTTTATACTTTTTTAATTTATTTATTTATAAATCAGCCTATGGAAATAATAAATGGTTCCAGTAGAGATTCCATCTTCCAAATGTGGACCTTGAAATTGTAAACCTCCTGTTGGATTCTGCTTTTCTGGTACTTTTTCAATGAGCAAGATGCTTACTTGCTATAAGACTTCCAAGTGGAGTAATTGGTACAATTTCCCTCAATATTCTGGATACTTTAAGCCATTAAATGAGTCAGGACAGAACTCAATTGATAAATAAGATGGGCACAAGGAAGGTGAAGTATTCCATGAAGGGATGACTGTTGCTTTCTTGGCTGCATTTTCCATTCTAAGATTTTGTCTTCCATTTCTTACTGAATAACAAGAACAGAGAATGTCACAACTACTAAATTAATCTGTAGGTTTATTTTCAAGGTTCTTTACCAAGAAAAAGAGGTTACTTGTTCTATGACTGATTACCCTGCTTACATCTGTGAAGTGTTTACTCTCAGCAAAAAGGGTTATTCTGTTCCCCAAACCAAATGTTCAAAGCAGAAGAAAAGAATTCCACTCTCCTGTAGCAAAATCTAAATAACTTTTCTGACTTCTCATTTCTAAAGCTACTCACTCCTTCCTCCTCATCCTCTACTTAGAACAAATTCAGGACTTAGCAGGAAAATAGAATTTAAAGGTTAAAGCCTTGAGGAAGAGGGAATTCCTGTTTTCAAAACTTGGCTTGAAACATTATTACTTTAAATTTATCTAGTCAAATACTTATTTCAAAATGTTAGACCTCTAGATGTCAAACCAGCATTCACTTAATCAAATTTGGATTACAGGAGACCATGCATTAGCTCATGCAGTACTTATCTTTTTCCTTTGCTGGTTAAAATTGCTGATAACCACTCCAATGAAAAGGTTCAGCATGAAGAAAGATCCAAAAATAATGAAAACCACAAAGAATGCATACATGCTTAAGCGTGCTTCAAATTCTGGCTGTTGATCGATCTGTTAAAAAAACAACAAACAAACAGAAAAATAATATTGGTAAAAATGAGATAAGCTCAGATTTATCATTTCCAATTTATTATAGCAGATAACAGATCTTTTTGTTGTCATGAGGGATAAATTATTTCTACACATTTAAACCTTTATCTAGATGTACAAGTAGAACAAGTGTCTAGCTCTATCTTGTTACTGTGTGTAAAGATAATGAAAAACAAGGCCAAATCCTGCTCTAGTAAATTTTTTAGTAATAAATAAACAGTTCCAATCAGAAGGGATCCTGTGAGAGCTCTGATTAGAAAAACAGCTCAGATTAAACCTAATGAGGAATTCCATCCTTTGGGATGTCATCCCAGGCAAGAAGCAATTTAAACCAGCCATACAAGGAGCAATATTGTTATTTAGCATCTATTTACTTACCATCAAGAGTACAGTGATGGAATGAGCAAGAAAAAATGCAAAGTCAACTAAATCTAGAAAATTTAAAACACAGTGTGCTAGTAAGAGGGAGAAGCAGGACATTCAAATGGGGAAGAAATAGTGAGGATATCAAATGTAGGGATGAAAACCTTCTCAAATAACTGATAAAACTACAGGCTTTTCCAGTTCTACTGCACATATTTAAGAAAATTTGCTTCAGAGGCACAGTCATATTCTGTTACAAAATTAGACTTGCAAAAAATTTTGTATTTGTTTGCCCTCTTTTTGTGTGGTATCACTCTACTGTCACCTGTTTCTTTTATAAGTTTCAGATATTTGGTAACCCAAGGATTATTGTTTCACTGTGTAGTGGGATGCATTCATCCACTTTTAGTTTTGATCTGATGTTGCAAAAAAACTTGAAAAATTAATTGTATGGATAGAAAAGGGAAGAAGGAAAGGGAAAAGAACTAGAATTTCATTTTAGTGACGTACCTCACGTGAATCCACCGCTGCATACATAATATCCATCCAACCTTTAAAAGTTGCCTGGAAGAAAATGCATTGTTTATTACCACTAGAAAAAAAAAAAATAGCTATTGCTAATATAAATATGTTAGTAGTTGTGAAAAAAAAATTAGAAATGTGCTGTAAGAAATATGCATCAATTCTAAAGATATGCTTGGAAGTATGATTCACTGGAGTTTAATACAGAGAAAAAAAAATCTCATGGAAAGAAAACAAAAGCAATTCATGATTCATGTCAAATGTGCTTTAATGCTAACACTTGCTCAATTGAAATTTTTGTAAAGACAAAAGAACACTGAAAGTTTCAGCTTAACTAGCAAATATAGCTTGAAAGGATAAAAACAATTTCTAACAAGACAGCAGATGGTTCCATCCTGCAATTTTTATCAATCATAGGACACTTTGGAGGATCCAGAGCAAAGAACTTCATCTAGAAAAGATACAGGGATAACAGAAACTTTTAAAACAATGCCTTTATCTCCTTTGTTGTGGTATTAAGTAGCTCAGTGAATTAGCCTTCCAACACCTCAGGACTTTTACAATAAAAGAAAACAGAATTCAAATAAATTGGTCCACAAGTTTTCTTTCTTGTCCACTTGAACCAGAGAAAACAAGAATAACTTTAAATACAGTAATGGGCAGACTATTTCAGCCTAAGTTTGTTATTCAAAATTTTTTAAAAATTGAAATTTAAAACAAAATTCAAAAGCTGTGAAACAGAGTTCTTGATTTTAATACAAGGCTGTATATGCCTGTGTTCTTTAGGAGAAACTGAGCAGCTCATAGATAAGGAAAATATTCATGGAGCTAAAAAATACCCTTCAGTGAGATAAACAGAAGCATAATGGTCTCCCTTGGTTGGGCTGCTCAACCCATTCCTTGAGGAAAACAAAAATGAGCATGTTTCTATAAAACTTACCACTTGGAGAAGTGCCAAATATCCATTTCCAACATTGTCAAAATTTACAGCATTATTTGTCCATGTCCCATTGTGGAAAAAACAATCACTTTTGTTATTAATGGAAACATTATTTTCTTTTTTGAATGTGCATTTCCAAAATCTGCTTCCAAGCCATTTTACTCCTAGAACATTAAAGAGGAGCCAAAAGACAACACAGACGAGCAGAACATTGAAGATTGAGGGGATGGCTCCAAAGAGTGCATTCACAACAACCTGAATGAAATGAATGATAAGTATTAATTATTTGCATTCCATAGATCACTTTTCCCAGAAAGCCATTTATTTTTTCTTCTTCTGTATCTTGAAATTGTATTGAAATCTTGTATTGAAAATTCTCATCCATATGAAAACTAATATCATTACCTTTATGCCTTCAAATCTTGACAAAGCTCGTAAAGGCCTCAGTGCTCTAAAAGTTCTGAGAGATTTCAGGCTGGTCCCAGAGGAACAAGGTGAGGAATCTTCAGAAACAGAATTTCGTCCCCAGGAAACAAAGGACAGCTGTGTTCATTGAATTGGAACTGGGATCATTAAATGGCATACAATTTTTTTTTTTAATTCAAATTAGTAGACAATTCTAAATTGAAAGTTACAATATCTCACCACTAAGTCAAATTAAGAAAATACACATTCAAAGTGATGACAATATAATTTTACTTCAGTCTTTTCTAACATATGAGAAAAAAAATTAATTCATTCTAATTGTTTTTTTTAAAAACAGTTCATATAATTTTGTTTAATGCTGGTATAACAATCAAATTGGTAACCATGATACTTCCACATACTACCAACCAGAAAAGTTTATTCAAATAAAATACTTCCATTTTTTGCATAGTTATTCTCAAAATTGTATACAGGAATTTGTTATTAGAACTGAGGATGTGGAAATAATTTTTATTTTTTTTTTAATATATCTTGCTCATTTTATCTATTTCTAAGAGAGAAATTAATATATTAAAAATCATTTCAATAATTAGGTTTTTTCACTGTTCATGATTTGTCCCTTCCTATTTGAATTTGTTGCCTCATTGCTCAGCCATTGGATATTTCCATGCTTATCCTCTGTTTTGGACTGCTATTTCCATTGGAAAACTGCAACTCCTCAAGTATTCTTTACAAATAGCCATAATATTAGATCTTTCTGTTGAAATTTCCTAATACTTCACTATTAAGTGTTCCTAACTTTCAGTGCTGACTATCCTTAGACTATCAAAAGCTACTGTGATGTTACAAGTCAGCAGTTGAGATGTCCTTCCTTTAAAATACTTAACTTCAGAACAATCCCAGTGTCATGCTGACAACTAAAATGTTTCATTTTTATATAGCAAGATTATAGTATTTAACATTTTCTACATTCAGAGCAAATATATATGTACTGAACACTGCACTTATCTCACTCTTGGTGATTCCAGCATTTCTCTTTAGGGCTGTGCAAAGAAAAAGATACCTCTCTAATTCCCTGGTAAATGATTTTTCCAACCATGCTTTTCAACTGTCTTTGCCATCTAAATTTATTCTCCTTCAAGGAAGGAACTCTTTCCTTTTTTTTCTGTTTCTAAATGCCAAAGCCACAAATTTGGTTTGGGTTGGAAGGAGCCTTTAAGATCATCTAGTCCAGAACTGTCAGTAGCTTCACATTATCTACTGTCTTAATCAATTTATTTTAATTTTATTTCTCATCACTAATTGAACTCTCTAAAATTGTAAAGGTTTTTAGAGCCATCATGGTCCTCAATGACTGTGATACCTAATAAAATTTTCTTCTTGATTATTGCTGACAATTTTCATTTAAATTCCTAAAGCCAGTTTTGGATAGAATGTTTTTCAGCTTTTGGAAACTATCTTTAACACCTGTATTAATTCATAATCAGAATTTATAGGTAGTTCTTTAGATAGAAAACATCAAAAAATTAAAATGTATGACAAGCTGAGTATAATACTTACACACACAATGATGAAGTCAAGCAAACACCAAGAATTTGTGAAATAACTGTGCAAACCAAAAGCTGCCCATTTCAGAAGCATCTCCATAAAAAAGGTGTAGGTAAATATCTTATCAGCATAATCTAGGATAATTTTCACTTTTTCCCTCTTCTGTAGGTGAATATCTTCAAATGCCTGGAATTTCAGAATTCAGTTTTAAAACAGGTCAATAGTTTTATGAAATATTATTTTTGAATTGCATAAGAATACACAGTTTGGCTTATTATAACCATTTAATATTCAATTATGGACAACCACCACTTATTTTTATACTTAAAAGTCAAAAACTAAATTTTAAAGTACAATCTCATTTTCACATTGATTCGAAAATCTCATGCTTTCAGGTTTTTATGTTCAACCCTTCAAAAAATGTCTGACAGGGGTCAATTGTGGCTAAAAATTTTGTCTTCCCCAGGTAGCTGATAATTTTGAAGGGGTCAGTCTAAAATTCTTCATAAAAAGCCTGAATTTAATACATTAACCAGTGTCTGTCAGACTCTGACCTTCCAAATGAGTAATTTTGAGTCATCCTGCAGAGTTGGAATACAGACATGGAAAAATGTGACAAGCACCTCATCAGGAACTGCCCATTCCTGAAGTTGCACATTTTTTCACCTAAACCTTGACACTGAGGTCTTAGGAAAATGTTTCACAGATTGTTGTTGTTCACATCAGTGTTTGTTCATGTTTAAAGTATTTGTTGCCTTGCTAATTTATTTTTTTAATATTGCCCATCTATTCCAAATTCCTATTAACACCTTGCATTATTTCCTTACTGAGCCTTTGGCAATGTATTTTTCCTTTCATCCGCTTCTCTTTGCTTTTCTGAGCATTCTTTTCATGATCACTGTCTCATTTAATTTCACTACAATGATGGTCTGGTGCTCATTCATACTCATTCAGAAATTTTTGTATCAGTAAATTTTATAAACAAGCCAAAAATGGGCAAGTCTTTTTTAGCAAGAGGACAAGTGTGTCTTAGAAATGGGAAAGTTCACACTGCAAAATATCTTTGATGACAAGAAATTGTTATCGTTTTATTATTTTACACCTGGGTACCAATTAACTTTTTGTTCAACAGGACATTAAAAATAACTCAGTTTCCTTCCTCACTTCAGTTTGGTTCCCCATGAAAAGAGAGGAGCTCTCTCTGGAATCCCAGGGACTCCCCCTGAAGCTTTTGTCAGGAAAATTTTAAAGCAGACTGTTTAAATCTATGGTTCAGGGAATAACCCAAATGTAATGTACACAGAACTGACTTTAGCTGGAAATTCTGACATCTACTACATAGATCACCTTCAGACTATTTGGTTATGTTCCTTCTGCATTATATAATATTTTATTTAACAAGTTGCTTTCAGTAGACAATGAATAGACTTTCAAATAAAATAATTATTGCCTTATTCTTCAGTAGAAATGGATATGATCAGAGTAGCAAGGGAACATTACCTCACCAATTTACAGCCACCTTCACTTTTAGCTTCTGATCATAATATTTGGATGATTTACAATCTATATTTTTACTGAGTAGTTAGTTTGCTTTACAAATTTAGAAGTGCTATTATTTTTTTCAAGCTCTCCTAAGTAATTTCAGACTCTGGTTTAGCCTTGTAATTAACATGAAAGTAAAGAACTATGCTCAGTGAAAACCTATGATGCTATATATTTAAATCCATCAATTTAAATATCTTATCCTAGTGGAGGAAAGCATTATAACTTCTAAGTGTTTCATTTATTGCACTCTTGTCTCCCTGGGGAAAGGAATGTCATAGTAGAAGAAATTAATTCAATACTATTCCTTTACTGACAACAATTAATTCAAAAGTGGAGAAATTAAATTAAATTTACCAGTGCTGCGCTGCTCAATACAATCATAAAAATCATAAAATATTCAAACCCGCTATGGTTAACAATTCTGTAGCAAGTTTTTCTAAAGTTCCACCAAGTTCTGCCTGGAAACTTTGTGATATCCACTGCACAACGAGGGAAACACTCAATACAACCTGAAAAGAGAGAGAATGTATTGGTTCAATGGAAAATGATGAGATATGGATTTAAAAAGTATAAAGCATTTTACATATTATAGGAAGAATGTGCTCTTTTATCTATGAGGTGATGCTGTTGATGAAATGATATGAAGTTAAAGAAAAGACAAAATTTCTATGCCAAAATAATCTCCTTTAATAAAACAACACATACATGGAATAACAGACATCTTTTTGTGTCCTTCTGCAGAAAGGCTTGTGGGCACAGAAGAAGCCTTTACTTCTATCTAAAAATNATTCCCTAGTAAATGATTTTTCCAACCATGCTTTTCAACTGTCTTTGCCATCTAAATTTATTCTCCTTCAAGGAAGGAACTCTTTCCTTTTTTTTCTGTTTCTAAATGCCAAAGCCACAGATTTGGTTTGGGTTGGAAGGAGCCTTTAAGATCATCTAGTCCAGAACTGCCAGTAGCTTCACAGTTTCTACTGTCTTAATCAATTTATTTTAATTTTATTTCTCATCACTAATTGAACTCTCTAAAATTGTAAAGGTTTTTAGAGCCATCATGGTCCTCAATGACTGTGATACCTAATAAAATTTTCTTCTTGATTATTGCTGACAATTTTCATTTAAATTCCTAAAGCCAGTTTTGGATAGAATGTTTTTCAGCTTTTGGAAACTATCTTTAACACCTGTATTAATTCATAATCAGAATTTATAGGTAGTTCTTTAGATAGAAAACATCAAAAAATTAAAATGTATGACAAGCTGAGTATAATACTTACACACACAATGATGAAGTCAAGCAAACACCAAGAATTTGTGAAATAACTGTGCAAACCAAAAGCTGCCCATTTCAGAAGCATCTCCATAAAAAAGGTGTAGGTAAATATCTTATCAGCATAATCTAGGATAATTTTCACTTTTTCCCTCTTCTGTAGGTGAATATCTTCAAATGCCTGGAATTTCAGAATTCAGTTTTAAAACAGGTCAATAGTTTTATGAAATATTATTTTTGAATTGCATAAGAATACACAGTTTGGCTTATTATAACCATTTAATATTCAATTATGGACAACCACCACTTATTTTTATACTTAAAAGTCAAAAACTAAATTTTAAAGTACAATCTCATTTTCACATTGATTCGAAAATCTCATGCTTTCAGGTTTTTATGTTCAACCCTTCAAAAAATGTCTGACAGGGGTCAATTGTGGCTAAAAATTTTGTCTTCCCCAGGTAGCTGATAATTTTGAAGGGGTCAGTCTAAAATTCTTCATAAAAAGCCTGAATTTAATACATTAACCAGTGTCTGTCAGACTCTGACCTTCCAAATGAGTAATTTTGAGTCATCCTGCAGAGTTGGAATACAGACATGGAAAAATGTGACAAGCACCTCATCAGGAACTGCCCATTCCTGAAGTTGCACATTTTTTCACCTAAACCTTGACACTGAGGTCTTAGGAAAATGTTTCACAGATTGTTGTTGTTCACATCAGTGTTTGTTCATGTTTAAAGTATTTGTTGCCTTGCTAATTTATTTTTTTAATATTGCCCATCTATTCCAAATTCCTATTAACACCTTGCATTATTTCCTTACTGAGCCTTTGGCAATGTAATTTTCCTTTCATCCACTTCTCTTTGCTTTTCTGAGCATTCTTTTCATGATCACTGTCTCATTTAATTTCACTACAATGATGGTCTGGTGCTCATTCATACTCATTCAGAAATTTTCGTATCAGTAAATTTTATAAACAAGCCAAAAATGGGCAAGTCTTTTTTAGCAAGAGGACAAGTGTGTCTTAGAAATGGGAAAGTTCACACTGCAAAATATCTTTGATGACAAGAAATTGTTATCGTTTTATTATTTTACACCTGGGTACCAATTAACTTTTTGTTCAACAGGACATTAAAAATAACTCAGTTTCCTTCCTCACTTCAGTTTGGTTCCCCATGAAAAGAGAGGAGCTCTCTCTGGAATCCCAGGGATTCCCTGTTGGGAAGGTAGAATTAGAAAGAAATTATAAATATGATTTTGTAGCCAGAAAGGCTAAGGAAGAAATACAAATGATAGCACGGTTTGAATAATTCAAAGAAACCAACCGGGCTGGTATGCCAGAACACATTCTTTCCTGCAATAAAACCAAGCTGAGACCCCTCATCCCAGCCTTATAAGGAAAGGTCTGAAGGACCCTGAGATAACTAAAAATATGCAAAAATAGCGATTTCTATAGGTTGTACACAAATGTTACTATATTAGTATACTTAGAAAGATTGGTTAGTTAAGGAATAGAATATTCAAAGGTATAGGTTATATAAGTAGTGGTATAGAAGAGCTCGATCTCTTTTTTTTGCTCTTTGCTCTCTCTTTTTGCTCTTTTTTTTGCTCTCTTTTTGCGCTCTCTTTTTTTTCTCTTGCTTGCTCTTTTTCCGTCTCTTGCTCTCTCTATATCTCTCTACCCCACGCCCTGAAATAAACTTCTAACACTTAACTCGATTATAGAGGTCTTTGCCGTGTCTCTGACCGTCCCCAGAAAGCGTCTCCTACATTCCCCTTGAAGCTTTTGTCAGGAAAATTTTAAAGCAGACTGTTTAAATCTATGGTTCAGGGAATAACCCAAATGTAATTTACACAGAACTGACTTTAGCTGGAAATTCTGACATCTACTACATAGATCACCTTCAGACTATTTGGTTATGTTCCTTCTGCATTATATAATATTTTATTTAACAAGTTGCTTTCAGTAGACAATGAATAGACTTTCAAATAAAATAATTATTGCCTTATTCTTCAGTAGAAATGGATATGATCAGAGTAGCAAGGGAACATTACCTCACCAATTTACAGCCACCTTCACTTTTAGCTTCTGATCATAATATTTGGATGATTTACAATCTATATTTTTACTGAGTAGTTAGTTTGCTTTACAAATTTAGAAGTGCTATTATTTTTTTCAAGCTCTCCTAAGTAATTTCAGACTCTGGTTTAGCCTTGTAATTAACATGAAAGTAAAGAACTATGCTCAGTGAAAACCTATGATGCTATATATTTAAATCCATCAATTTAAATATCTTATCCTAGTGGAGGAAAGCATTATAACTTCTAAGTGTTTCATTTATTGCACTCTTGTCTCCCTGGGGAAAGGAATGTCATAGTAGAAGAAATTAATTCAATACTATTCCTTTACTGACAACAATTAATTCAAAAGTGGAGAAATTAAATTAAATTTACCAGTGCTGCGCTGCTCAATACAATCATAAAAATCATAAAATATTCAAACCCGCTATGGTTAACAATTCTGTAGCAAGTTTTTCTAAAGTTCCACCAAGTTCTGCCTGGAAACTTTGTGATATCCACTGCACAACGAGGGAAACACTCAATACAACCTGAAAAGAGAGAGAATGTATTGGTTCAATGGAAAATGATGAGATATGGATTTAAAAAGTATAAAGCATTTTACATATTATAGGAAGAATGTGCTCTTTTATCTATGAGGTGATGCTGTTGATGAAATGATATGAAGTTAAAGAAAAGACAAAATTTCTATGCCAAAATAATCTCCTTTAATAAAACAACACATACATGGAATAACAGACATCTTTTTGTGTCCTTCTGCAGAAAGGCTTGTGGGCACAGAAGAAGCCTTTACTTCTATCTAAAAATGTTTCTATTTTCTGCATTTTTTTCCCTTTTTTTTTAATTTTGAAAAGAGATGAGATTTTGAAATGACCTTACTAGCAGGTCAGTAAATTATTATTTTTACTGATTATTTCACTTTATTGCACTGCAGGGACATTACATCTGAACTCTGTTCACTTCCCTGTGCCAGAAACATTCTTCATTAATCTGCAGAGGCAGCAGGATGGGACCATGAAAGTCAACAGAGTCTAAGGAGAAGTTCAGGTGATCAAAGGCAGATATCCAGGCTGGGATGAGCAGGTGAACAGTTCCTGATAATCTGGACATGCTCCAAATGGATATTTTTGAACACTGGCTCATTTGGCATTAGTAAAATAAAATAAAATAAAATAAAATAAAATAAAATAAAATAAAATAAAATAAAATAAAATAAAATAAAATAAAATAAAATAAAATAAAAATAAAATGAAATGAAATGAAATGAAATGAAATGAAATGAAATGAAATGAAATGAAATGAAATGAAATGAAATAAAATAAAATAAAATAAAATAAAATAAAATAAAATAAAATAAAATAAAATAAAATAATAAAATAAAATAAAATAAAATAAAATAAAATAAAATAAAATAAAATAAAATAAAATAAAACAAAATAAAATAAAATATTCCTACTTTCTACAAAGCAGTCCTTAGGCATCTGTGAGTCTTTACTCTGGGAAAGCATCTCCAGAAGAGCAACTGGATCCACAGTGCTGGCTTCAGAAAAGCTACGAGCAGCATCATATTTCTGCAGAGGAGAAGGAGTAAGAAAATAATTTATTTGCTTTTCGTTAATATGGTTAAGAAACATAAATTAAAATTATCATCTCCTCTTCCTCCCCAAAAGAAATTTGCAGTGTATGAATTATCTTAATGTTGCTCAACTACCAAATTAAGTTATAAATATTAGGACAGAAAAAGCCAATCCCTACTTTTTGTTTCCATCACTTTATTTTAACAAGTTTCTTGGTTTCTTTTAGTCATATACAGTGGACTTGCAGGAAGGGAAAAGTTTAGAAAAGATTTATGTCACAGTTTTACACAAAACTCTGATTTCTTCAGGCCAATCCATTTTTAGAGATATGAATCATGTCTCAAAAGGCTTGTAGAGTGGAAGAACCAGCATATTCCACAAAATGATAAAAGTCATAGTTACCACTTTTTGTTCCTTCTTTGGGTGTGTTACTGTTAAAACATTCACTGTTTCAGAAGTCCCAGGACTCTGATTGAAGCTGTTTGAATTCTGCCACTGTTCTCTGTGTCTTAAATTGTCTCCCTGCATGAAATGATGCAAATCAGTTGATTTTCCACTTATTTTTTTTCCTTACAGTCGTTCTTGAAAGGCAAAACTATTTAACAGAATGTAAAACATCCACACAGTTTAGACTCACATAATCACAGAATTATTTGAGTGTTTGGTTTGGAAGGAGACTGAAAGATCATGTAGCTGCAGCCCCTCTGCAACAAGCAGAGCATCTTTCAGTAGCAAGTTTTCTTTTTATAAATAATTAAATTGTTTTCCTAAAATTCTTGTAAAAGAATTATGTTTCCAGTTACAGGCAGATCTAAGTGATCAGAATCAGTCCTCAGTCCTTTTGACACTACAGATTCCAAGAAATACCGGATTCCACTGCAGCAGGGAACGAATTTCTGACATCAAATACTTATGGGCAAGATATTTGAAACAGCCAAGGATGATTCTAAGATGATCAGCAATTTTTTTCTTCTTTGACAATTTGTCCAAAGATATTGCACTGATCATGCTTTCTATGACCAAAACCATAGAAAATGGATCCTGGCAATCCACCTAGACACTAAGTATGTGCTAATCCATTCAAAAAGAGATCACTCCAACCCTAACAATTCTGTGATTCTGTGAAAAGAGTTCCTACAGCTTCTGTGCCATATTTGACAATCCTGTGTGGATGTGACAAACACCTGAAATATTTCCAATATCTCTAAATGCCTCTGTACAGCTGCCATGGCAGTAAAAATATCTCGCTCACATGCAGAAAGATTTGAGCTTTATCCTACCCAACACAACAAAATCAAGAGATATAAAGGGGAGTCAAAAGTACCATGGAGGTGAACAGGCAATTAAAATAAAAAAAACCCCAAACAATACTAAGAATTGATATTTTTAGATGTAGCTTTCATTTACATTCCTTTGGATTCCATTCAACTGAGAAACAACATAAAATTAACACAAGAGGCCTGCCTTCCAAAAAATACACGTGTAAGGCAAAGGAGGCAAAAAAAATGAATGTTTGTCTTGATCAAACTTTGTTTATCAATTAACAATAATAAATGGAAACAAAACAGTCAAAAGCAGAATTTTGGCTGTCGAGGAGAATGAGGGAAAAGTGAATATTTAACACATCATTGAATAACCAAGACTATTTGGTGGCCCTTGTATTAGAAGGACAAAGAAAATAAAATTGCAGAAATGACAGAAAGGATAATATTTACTGAGTCTTTGTATTTGCAGATGCAAGTCACAATAATTTTTCAAATATCAATATTCCTTACCTGTTTTCTGTATTCTACAGCTGTGTGTAAAATGTGCCCATCATCACCTTCGTTGGTGGAAACCTCTGCTGCTGTAATGGGAACACAGGTACTGTGGATGGTCAAAATGTCTTCATATTTTCTTGCTAGTGAGGAACTGTCTTCCATATGGCAACGCTCTATATCAAAGCAGCTGCTGTCTATATGTTTTCTGACATCTGTCATGGCATAATTAATAACCTCTATGCCTTTCCCCGAAACTTCTGCCAAAGTCTTCTTTTTGTTTGTTCTTCTGTGCCTTCCTCTCATTCTTTTGCAGCAGTGATCCCAAATTCTGTCTTTCACAGCCTTCAGGCTGTTGTGAATATGTGCAATGGCAATTTGGTATTTTGTCCCTTCTCCAGCATTTTCTTGTCCCTCTGGGCCATCAGTGTTGAACGAACTCAGCAGCAAAGCAATGAACAAGTTGAGCACCTTAAAATAAAGTAAGTTGGAGACACTATTGCTAAGAGAAAAGACACTTCAGAGATCCTCAAACTCGCTTTCATTAACCACTACAATGAATTTTCTATGATGCTGTAATATTGTTATACAACGATATGGCTCCTTCTGGAAGGAATGCCAGGAGAAAAAAGGAGGGAAGTGAGAGTTTGGGTATATAAAATATATTTTCACGTGCTTTGATGTCCATAGTGTATGGGGAGGCAGACATGTAGAAAAGCAGCAGGCAAAGATGAATTTTAATTCCATCATCATCAAAAAAGATCTAGTATAGACCAACAAACCAAGCAGATGAAAAAGATTTTGTCTGCCAGTAAAATTACATTAGATCTAGTATAAATTCCAAAATCTGGGTACTGTAAACTGTTGATAACATAAGGGCAACATGTTAAGCATTAAAAACACTCAACAATTTGGTCATTTGGTCCCATCAACACAAAAGATGAAGACATCTGACATCAAAGTATGATACTCTCTGCACTTCTATGCTCTGTCTATAAGTAATAATTTTATTTTGCTTCTGTCTTGTGTGCGAAAGAGAAAGGGAGAAAAGGAAAAAAGGAGACAGAACAAAAACATATGTCAAGTGACACCCAGAAAAGAGAATAAAGTGAATACTTTTCAAACAGTAAAGTTTGCCTCCAAAGAAAAATGTAACTGGATGCATTCCATGCAAGTAGGGACTGAAAATTGACTTGAAACTCACCACCAGGTTTCCTAGCACCAGGACAAGCAAGAAAATGATGAGACATTTCTTTTTTCCAGCCACTTCCATGCACTCCCACATAGTTTCAATCCATTCTCCACATAATATTCGGAATATAATCAGGACTGAATGACAAAAATCTTTCATATGCCAGCGTAATTCACCACTGGGGCTTATTTTAGAGGAATTTGCGGTATAATCACTGCCCAAAATCTGCACTCCTACTACAGCAAAAATAAATACAGTGATTGCCAGAACCAGAGTGAGGTTACTCAAAGCACCAAATGAGTGTAGAATTATTTTCATAAGAGTATTTAAGGCTGGCCAGGACTTTGCCAATTTGAAGATCCTGAGCTGTAAATAAAACACAAGGAAAAAAAAATTACATGAAAGCCAGACCCCACATTTACCATGATGTTTTACTACAGTAATATCACTATTTTTTCCCCAAATAAAGCCTTTTAATTGTTTTGATGCAGTTAAAATCACTCCAACTTAAAGCCCATGTTGCTTTACCTACCAATAAAGAAAACAGATTTAACATATCCATCAGTAAAATAATGAGGGTATTTCACTATACAACACATGTACTTTTAAAAAACTAAATAATTTTTTTAAAAAATAAATAAATAATTACCAGCCTGAAAGGTGACAGATTTGTTCCAAAGCTTGCTAGGCCAATCAAAACAACCAAACTATCAAAAATATTCCACTTTTTCTGGAAATAGTAGTAAGGATCTAGAGCAATGATCTTCAAGATCATTTCTATGGTAAAAATCAGGGTGAAGACCTGGAAAGACCAAAAAAGAAATTCAGAAAAAAGTCACTGAAAAGGTCTGTCTCCTTATAGGAGTGTCCAGTATAAATACAGGGTTATAACTCCATTGTTATTCTAACACAGACCTAACTCACCTTGTCACTTAATGAAATAATTCGTTGGTAATTTGGTTGCATGCCAGGGTACTCCATAGCCAGGAATAAGGTATTCAAGATAATGCAAACCATGATTAAGAGATCAACAAATGGATTCAAAATTACCAATTTCATCTTCTCTTTGACTGATCTCCAGAATGGACAACAATTCCAAATTAGATAGTTTTTAGGGAGATTTTTCCAAAATGTAGGACAATGCAGTTTTGACTCTGGCAGACAGAGGGAAAGTGGCATATGAATAATTCTTTGTAGAATATCACAGAATAAAGAAAAAGAAAATCATACATTGAAAAGATTGAAAAGAAAAGCCAATCTCACATGAGCAGAATGGCATCATTGAAAAAAAATTGTTCAGCTCATTCTGCACAAACTAATTACAGACTAATAAAGGTCAGGCAAAATTTAGCCTCTGTAATTGCAAATTACATGAGATATGAGAATATTTATTTTACTGAAATTTACATTTGGCAGCCTAATTTCCCCTAGTGGCTTTTAAAATAATGCTGTTTGTGACAGTTTGATCTCTCAGGTCAAGTTACACACTCACCACAGGAAAAAGAGGAAAGAATGACTTACTTGAATTATCTGTAAGAATTGTGGCTGCACTCATTAACCTCTGTCTTCGGACAGGATCATTGATAGCATCCACTGACACCTCATAGGTCAGCAGGATCTGCCTCTTTGGTTAGAAAGGCAGCAGAAGGTAATATAACAAAGGAACATGAAGTTATAATAATTACAATACAAATAGCAATACAAAGATTATATCCAGCATGAGATAAATATGCTTTCTGAAGATATTTAATTAGCAATTATAATGCCATTATAAGAGAAGTACAGAAACATTAACAGGGGGCAAGGGAAAATAATCAATCTATCTTTCCAGTGAGTGATAAAAACAACAGACAAAAAGAACCATCAGTTTGAATAAACTATTGGCTATTTAACTATTATTAATAAATAATCTTGTATTAATGTGAAAAATAGTCACATATTAATGCAAATTATTGAGGGTTTTAGCCCTACTAAGCCTATCAAGATCTAACAAATATTGAACTGCCTAAAACCAGGAATGGGATTACTTTTGTTTTTATTAGAACAACCAGATGACAAGGAACCTGACAGACTGGGAGTGGACATTTTGACCTCATCACAACGCACTCTACCTTAGTATTCCCTCTCAGTACCACTGGATCTGCATAATTTTATTTTTTGGGAAGTATAAATGAATAAAAATATATCATAATGTTACCTCAAACCCTTATGATATTATGATTTTTATTAACTTATTCTGTAAAACTGTTATTCAGGGAATGAAAGTGATATCCTTGGCTTTAAAGGTTTAATAATAATTATTTCTCTTTGTCACTGTGATATTTTAATGAAAATCTAAGCGAAACTTAGCTGATAGAACTGTCAGAGAACAGATCTATAAAATGAATTTATAATACAGTGCTAAAATGTTCATTTTCCCCCCCTGTTTTTTTTCTGAATCCAGAAAGCTCAACTAGACTATTCTAATCACGGCCAGTGTAAGTCACCCTTTCATTCCTTTCTCTAAGATTTGGTATCTCAGAAAACAGAAACCCAGAATAATCTGTGTGCCAGCCAGACTAATGTTCTCTATCTTATTGAAATTCACAGCTGTTAAGGAACCTTCAGAGTTGTGTTTTTGGAAAGGACAAGGACATTCACCAGCACTGAACTGCTTCCTGCTGCTCATGGATCTTTAGCTGAAGAAAATAACTGGGGGTGAGAAGTCCTCTTACAAACTGGGATTTAAAATAGGGATGTGAACTAGAGAAATAATGTTTATAAACTCATTCTGTCCTACCAAAATGCCTCTACAGAATATGCTTTTGTCTTTGACTTAGCACCTTCAGCCTCTTTTTATGATGAAAGAAGAAAGGACACTGTTTGAGGAGTCCTCAGCTGCAGCAGAGCTTGTACTACCCAGTAGTTGTCTAACATGAAATAAACTGCCAGGTTTGCTGCAGATTATACTTATTTGACTAAAGGTAAAAATCTACATTGGAGCAGCTCATACTGTTTGGATCAGGTTTTCCTAGAGATATTCAGAACTTTGTTCTTCCCTGGACACAGAGAAAGGAAGCGAATTTGGAAAGGTCTGAAGATTTTATTTCTGAGATATAAAAATCCAGATTACACTTGGCATCCATCTGTGCAGACTTTGTAGCCTTGCAGAAGTAAGGTCTAGCAAATAATCCAAATTTATCTCCTGTCTCATACATCTCCTGTAACACAGTCACAGACTTAGAAGAAAAAAGTTAAATAGGAATAATCAGCCATAAAAAATGACTTTTATACTTACAGTAGATATGACAGCTATTACAAAAAGCTATTTTTTTTCTGAATAGGTACAATAAAACACTACCATGGGCTGTGATACAGAACTTCCTTTAAGTGTAGCAGAACCAAACTAGGTCACAAAATTGAATTATATTCTTAACACAGCAGGGGAAACATTAATGACACTACAAGAAGCAAATGCTTTGCTAAAGGAGATGACAGGTGGCAGTTGTTGCCAAGTGGGTGATTTGGATTCCTTCAGCTCAAATATACTATTTATTATAGTTAGGATTATGGAATTTAGAAGAAATTTTGACCATGGTGACTGTCAGAATGAGAATTTAATCAATTTTAGTTCGGATTATATGTCTGAGAAAGACTCCTCTTCAAGGATACTTTTCAAAAAGATGGAAGTTGGAACATTATTTCTCTTAGAGATGCTATAGGAAAACTTCCATTTTCAGTGAGATTGGTGGAACAACCCTGATGTTCTCTCAGAAGCAAAAGAGAATCTGTCTTGAGATGAAAGTATAGGGCATTAGAAGCTTTCTTTTTAGATGTTGTTGAAAATAATTAAGTAATATGGATAATTGCCTGAGAATTATTTTGAAAGTTTCAGCTCAAGATTAAAATATCTAAATATAGGCATCTAAATGAAGATGTTTACAACGAGCCATAGAAAGATTAAAGCTGGGATGGTCTTCTAGAAGATACAGTATTTTGTCAGTGGCAAAGGTACTGTGGAAAAAAAATCTCCAAAATAAAGCAAAGTAAGAAAAACAGGACTTAATAGAAGTCTCTTAATGGACTTAAAACTGAGTGGTCAGCAGAGGAGCAAGGAATAACTTCTGTAAACAAGATGTAAAACAATATGTGTGAGATTCAGCCTAATACTTAGATATCCATGTTTAATTTATCCTCATGTGCAATGCAATTAAAATCCCAGTATATGGGACACATGTTTCTGAAAAGCTTGATTCACATAAATAAATGTTTCAGAAGCCATTTGAGATGGTCCAGTGAGACATTTGGTAGCTGAGACATCCACAGTAGCAGACATGGCACATAACATCTGTGCCCTTCCTTAGAAGAGGTGAAAGCCAAGTAAAACACTCGGAAAGCTCTAATGCTGCTAGGATAACAGTGCCAATTTGTCAGATCAATTTCATCTAAAAAATTAAATCTCCACTTCACTCTGGGAGTTTAGGACCTAAAACACATTTTACAAACCTAAAAACCTCAAAAAATTCAAACCCTGGAAACAATCCATTTGCCTGAATCTAGGAATTTAACAACATTTGAGATGCTGTAATGTTTATGAGATACCCACAAAGTGCTGGAAGATGTGCCACAGCTATCAAGGATATATAGAATATCCAACATATGCAAGAGCATCTAAACTGGCACCAGATGCTTAAAGTCAGCAAGTGAATCACACCCCTAAGATCAGAAGTCTTCATACTGAACTACATCCTGTCCTAAATATTTAGGTCAGAGAATTAGCTGTCTGTAGAAAAGAATATTAATTTTAAAATATAATTTAAAAAAAATAGTTAGGTCTTTGGGGAAACTCTAAAACTTAAGAATTTTATACATTTCTTCTGCAGCACAAACAGGGATGTTGACAGATCTTACTGCAGCTGGCAGAGCACAGGTCTATGATGTGCCATAAATGTACCACTGACAGCCACTTCCAACTTCCCTTCAGGTGCAGGTAGTGCTGGCTCCCTGCCAAAATCTCATCCTTGAATTGTCATATCATATGCAAATCTAATGAATGTGTTTTCTATTTCAAATACTTACAAGCTTCTTGTGGCAGTGATCAGGCTGTGAATGAAATATTTTCTCCTCATTTTCCTGGTCATCTAAAATCAAGTTTTGCCTTGAAGTAGGTGTTTTTTTATTACTCTCTTTTCCTTCTGAATTTTTCAAGTCAGCAACTGGCATTTCAGATCCACCATGCAAGGCCTTACTGCTTTCTTCCACAGCTAGCATCTATAACAGGAAAAGCAAAACAGACAAATGTCTGTTAATTCAAGGCAAATACCAATGCATGGACTAGGATCATATACATGTAATTATTATGCCATCTGAATTATTTGCACTGATAATTCCTTTTGCTGACAATTATTTGCACTAGACAATTCTAATTTCAAAAGTTAAACTGGCATAAAAAGACAGGAGTACAAAATGCTATTTACAATTCTGAAAGACAAAGCAGGGTTACCTGTGAGCTACTGTAAATAAAATCTGCCCTTGTCATTTGAAATACTGTCTTTTATATCTGATTTATGAAGTATTATGGCTTATCCTTTTACTTTCCTTTTCTTGCTTTGAAAAGGACCTTGAGTCCAAGACAGCAGAAGACTAAGGGCTCAAACTAAATACAAAAATGTTAAATTTTCCTAAATCCAAATCCTGTTGAAAAAAAATAGAAGGAAGAAAAAAGAAAAACAGAAGGAAGAAAAGCCTAAGCAAAGCCTGGCAAGGTGGAATGTCAGGCAGAGAAACATTACAGGGCTCTCAACAGCTGTAGGGGAGGAACTTGGTAAAATGGTGATGCCTTACACTTTAATGATGAAATTTGATAGTTGCTAGAGAGTATTTGTTTGTCCTCTTACAACTCTGACTTTTCTGACTGCTAGAAGTAAATCAGGGGTATCTTTTATTTAAGGTAGAATGTAAAATGTGTCCACTCATGCTTCTTTCCTGCAGTAATATCAGGAAGATACCCAGAGAAAGGAATTTTGGGCACAGCAATAATGGTACTGTACAATAGGGCAGCACTCATGCAACACCATAAAAGTTGCTTTCTTGCCAGAAAGCCATTCTTATACAATGTCAGGTCTGCAAATCCTAAAACCTAGTATGTTTTAATTTGGATTAATGATGTTTTTTTGTATCACAGGAATGTTTATGTATTTAAACATATATTTACATACACATATGCATTTGTAAAGACATAAAGAGAATGAAGTATCAGAAAGTATTGTAAGAAGCCCATGTTTAATTCAAAACTTTATTTCCCTAATTCACAAACAGAAGAAAACAAAAGGAACTACAGATTATATATGATAACTTACAAACCTGTTCCTTCTCTATAATTTGTTTGGCATCCTGAAGCAGTTTTTCCTTTGCCACAGTTTCAGCATGAGTAGCTCTATTTTCCTCTTCATATGCCATAGTTACCACAGCCAAGATCAGATTGAAGAGGTAAAATGAGCAGAAGAAGATGACAGCCATAAAAAAAAAGACACAGGATACTCCAGATGTACGGATGGTCTGTGAGGAAAAGGTAAAGGTGGTAATAAATTCTTAACAAATTAACACTTACAAAGCAACTTCAAAACAACTTTAAACTATTTATTTTCCTATGCAATACAAAAGGTTAATGCACTGCAGTGTTTTCAATGAAAAACAGTAGGATCTGCTTCTGGTCTAAGTTATACATAAAAATGTCACGTACTGCAGAAAAGAACTATCAAATCCCATTCTTAAAATTAAATTGAATATCCTTTAGCAAATCAGGAAAATGGTCATCAGAGTTAAGTCATGAGAAGACAACTTCACGTGTAAAGACATAAACAGGTGACTGTCAAAGAAATTAATGAAACTCAGTAATAAAGATGAAAGCTAGGATTATCTATACAATCATGAAAGATGTTTTAATTACATAATCAGAGGCAATATTTAGAGTGATTATCTTATCTTCTTTTTTTATTTAATGATAGAAGAGGAGATGGTTCAAAACTCAGCTCTGAGACATTAAAAACTAAAAATTACATGACCTTCAAATGGCAAAAGATGTTGCATCCATTTTAAAAAGTCCCAGGTAATAAAGGCTGATGAAAAAAAGAGTTAAAATGGATCAGTATGAAAGGTACAGAACAAGGCATAAAGTTCCTGTCTGCCAAAGGCACTGTATAGAAGTAAGGAATCCAGGAAGCTCTCTACAGGTATTTTTACATCATTTTTTAGAGAATGTGACAAATCCTCACATTCCCTGCAGTAGCAGAGAGCTCCATGGCTGGATCTGCTCCATATCCCAATCCTTGGGTGGTTACATACAAATATTTAACTCTCATTTAGCTCTTAACCACTGACCTGAGTGTGCTCTCCAACAAAACTATGAGCATTCACAGCAGGATTGCTCCCATTCAATGTCACTTGCAGAAGGTGTTACAGCTCAGTCACTTGATTCTACTTCCTTAATACTTACATTGATTTTAAAAGAAAATTGGTGTCAATAATGTTAAAACCAATACAGACTTTTCTAGTGGACATAAAGCTCTGAACTGCACAACTCAAGGCATTCCAGCAGGTAAAAAATGTACCCACTTGTCTGTAGAGACGCTCCCAGTAGTCCTGGGTCATCAGACGGAACACAGAGAGGAAGGCCCAGCCAAAATGGTCAAAACTTGTATACCCAAAGTCAGGATTGTTCCCAGTCTTCTCACAGATGTAGTTTGCTGGACACTCTTTACTAACCACAAAAGAAATGTTAAACAACACTTATGTGGAGATTCAATTGAACCTGAAAGTATTCAATACACAGTAACAATTTAAGATTTGTTCAGTTTGTCTGAAATGAGGTTTCATTATTCCTCAAAATATTCCTGCCAGAAGGGCCAATTCATATCTGACCATCCCAGAAAGCCATTTGTCTAGTAAAGAAAACTAGACAGAAACCTAGTTTGGGACTGGACAAAAACTCTCACTGATGTAGGATATGTCCAAATAAATAGACAGAGAGGGGAAAAATGGAAATACCTTTACTTTTAAATAATTCACCAAGATGAGGAGAGTTTATCAACATCTGAAAAGTCTTCAGTGATCTATTCTCCTCTTTATTTATATCATTCTACCTTACCATTATATTCACAGTAGTTAGAAACAAAGTACAGATAAAACTGGCTGCATCCTTGTACTTCATTCTTTTTCTGGTGTGAAATATCTGGCTTTTAATTTAATAACACACCCACTGATCCATTTCCTTCTCATGAAAAAATATCACCTTTCCTTTAGACCAAAAATAAAGTCACAGTGCATCTGAAGGAAAAATTAAGAAAGTACTGAAACTGCTTTGTTCACTTACTTGGGTTCTCCAGTGTACCCACAGAGCAATATTTCAGAAGAGTCTTTTAATCTGGAGCAGATGTCTAATGAAAAAAAAAAAATAAAAATCAAGGAATCATGAAATCAGAAGTTTTCCATTTCTACAGCTTTCTGACAGTAAACCAAACATTACTGCACTTTTTAAACACTCTGATGGATCAAACATCTGTGAAAGATCCTTTCCCAAAAAGGGACATACAGGACTGATTCTCAGTGGATCTGTCTCTCTGACAATATAAAATAAATAGTAGCAATAAAATAAATTAAACATATTAAATACTTAATTAAATATAATAAATATTTAATTTAATTAATTTATTAAAATAAATTAAATATAAAATACATAGCAACAATTTGCTGCACAACTAACAATGTAAGATGTTAATTGATCTTTGGTAAAAATAAGAATCTATGAGTAGACAAAATCCATGAAAAACAGAGTAAGTAATGGAAAAGATAATTCTTTGTGCAGTACCCCTAAACTAAGATCTCTGTGCAATGCACAGATAAAGAAGAAAATGCTTACAGAAAACTCAGTCCCTTCTATCCCACAGAATGCTGATCTTTCTCCAAATCCAAGATTCACTAATCTTATATTCAGTTGTCCCAGAGACTTCATACTGTTACTTATGCAAATGGAAGAACAAACCTTGTTTTGCAGAAGTACATACAATGATATTTTAACATCTCTGTGAAAAATCAATACATACATAGGAAGATATACAGATTATGTAAAGGGAGCAAAGAAAATATTTACCTTGATCATTCGGTACATATATCTTGGGATCCTTACATAATGAGTGATTGGACCCAGCTCCCTTGAGGACACATTTGGATTTTAAATTGCCCATAAAAAGCTGGAGGCCTATCAGTGCAAATACACTCAAGCAAAATACAGTCAGGATCAACACATCCACGAGCTTCTTAACAGACTCAACAAGTGAATTGACGATGACTTTCAGACCTAGGAAAATAAGATCCAAAAATATAGAAAGTGAGAAAAGGAATGCAAAAATTTTCCTCTATGACACGACATGACAGCTGCAATTTTGTTAAAGACAAAGGAAAAGTACTGATGTGTGGCTTTGACACTAAAATTAAACACCATCAATGTTTCTTCCTGCTATAATTTCATAGCAAAATTAAAAATATTTGAAATTACATGGAAATGATAAAGTTAATACATATTATGACCAGGAGATATAAAGTAATTTATAGATTTTCAAGTAAATTTTTGCAGTTGGACTCTCAAATCATTCTTTGGTACCTTAATGAAGGACATGACTTACAAAAATATTGAATATCTGGATTATACGCATATGCAACATACTGTTGAAAGTATTACACACAATCCAATAGCTGTGGTAAGTAAGGAAATAAATGAAAGCCTCTCAAATAGTGAGATCAGCATTCTGGGAAATAAACCAGAGAAGGTTAAGCTAGTGAGGTAGAACATGAAATCAGAAATATGTTAGTTCAGATATATTAAGAGAACATATTATATATGGTGGGCTGCTCCTGGAAGACAAATTAAAGAGACAAAGGCACTGGGCTAAATAAAAATGTACATCAGTGATGGGATTAAAAAAATGCAGAATATAAATTTGCCTTTGTCAAAACCATTTGAAGGAAAGATTATTTTAAAAAATTGTGTTAGGGTACTGCTGAGAGTGCAAAACAGTCACACCTTGGTATTCCTTGGGGTCACAAAAAGTGGCCAGAGAACAGGAAGACAAGAACAGGAGTGGAATTAGAATTTATATTCTGGTGAAGCAGGGAGATAATCAGTAAGATGTGTTGTTCCTTACCTGGTATTACTGAAATAGCTTTCAAAGTCCTCAGTACTCTGAAAGTTCGAAGAACTGAAACATTGCCAACATTGTGAAATGTAGTAATGTACCTGTAAAATTAACCCACACTCAACTGAATGACAAAGATGGAGCTTTTCAAAGCATTTGCTGATGGAGCAGGCAGTAATGAATAGACTTCAGAAAATAAACAGATCAAATATGTCCTAAGATACATGCCTAAAATTAGGAATCTAAGTCCATTTCTAGGCATGGATATAAATTAATGGGGCTTTGGAGCAGTGCCTCTGAAAAGAAATGCAGTAAACTCCTACTTAGTGCAAATTTGGATGCTTTAACTTTGGAAGAGTTTATCCATCAAAATGTCAAATAAATAAATATTAAAAAAAATATATATATAAAGTAATATATAAAAAAATAAAAAACTGGCAATGTCATAACCACACTCTTACAATGAGGCTCCTCTCATGAAAGTACATGTTGCAGCTACCTCAAAACAAACTACACACTTCAGGGGAAGGAAGTTGAGCAACAGTAGATTTATAATGTGTTTATTCTGTACCACATGGGTCTTTCTAACCTTTAACAGTCAATGAGAACTTGAGTATTGCAACTTGTTTCAATTTTAATATTTCAACAATTAGAAAGTTTCATCAAAGCAGTGTTTTAAAGCATTACAAATTCTATAGAGCACTTTAACAGGTTACCCCAAATTTTCTTCTTTCATGTTAGAAAGGACATGAATAGTGACTCATCTCATGACAAGGTCATAACTGGTAACAGAATTCCTTAAAAAAATAAAGTCTCAATAACAAAATCTGAGACAACAATGGTTGGAAAGGCAACCTCCCCCTCAAAGCATGACTTTGTCAGCAGCAGATCAGAGTACATTGGCTTTGCCTAGTCTGTAAGATTGAATAATTATCAAGTACCTTAAGCAATAATTACACTTGAGTTAGCAGTTGAGCTAATTTCTAAATAGTTTTCTTTTTCTTTCTACTATAAGACATGGAATAAAACAGGTGGAGGTACTGTATTGTAAAGTTGAACAGTAATTAATTAGGGGTGCAGGTAGGGAAAAAGGACCATAAATTAAATTTTTCATGCAGCTGTTGGACTGTCTTGTGATAGTTGTAACTATTAATAGCTATCTAGTTGCTGATGATCAACAATATTCAAGCTTCATTATTACCCATAAGAATAATTGTTCATATACATATAGATATGTATGATGACACCTGTGTACATATAACCTATTATTTACAAATGAGAAAAAACCTACATGTAGTGTTACTACTCCCTTTTTTATTCTGCCACATGACAACTTCATTTGGTGCCTTTAGCTCTGCTTGTAGGAAAAGAATACTATTTATTCTATTCTTGTCTCTGTGCTGTACACTCCAATTAAGTTCCTGCTCTGCAATTGTTTTTTCATGTGAGTTTTAGTCTATTTAGACTTTTGGTATGTGGAATTACAGATATACATATTCACTGTATCTTTTTAAATTCTGACATCTGTTGGCATGTGAGGAACAAAACACAAAGTCCTAAATTAAAATACAGGCTACAGAGAGAAAAAATGTGTGTTCTGCTTCTTTACTTCTTACCCACGATGTCTTCATTTCCTACCTCCTTCTCTGACCATGACTGCATGCTGGAGTGGTGCTTTTATAAATCTGTTTCAACTCCAACATCACCTTCCCAACAAGTGAAGGCTATTTCAGAGCCCATTAATTTGTATGTAAAACAAGGTGTGTTCTTCCTTGAGCATCACTTGACACTGGGATTTCATCTGTTATTTACCAAGTCATTCAATACTTTGTGACCCATTTTGGACCCTTCTCAAATGAGTTTCATCTGAGGCAACATCAAGAGGCCAACTTGGTTTGGGCTGTTTATGCAATTACCTCCTGACAAAATTCAAATATAGACTAAATTGAGAATAATCATACAGTTCTAAGATGAGCTTTTTGTTTAGGTCTTACTTTAAAGTCTGTTTTTCTCATTGCAGACATGCAAACTGTGATTCAAGCACAGTTTAGAAGGGAGGATGCCAACAACTGTAAAGAATTTCAGCAACACCAAACAGTATTTTCTCTGTGTTTTTGTCCCCTGAGTGTAAAAGAAAGCTGAATTTTACTTACATTACAATAATAATAGAAAAATCCAAGCAGTTCCATGGATCTCGAAGAAAAGTAAATTCATTACAAACAAATCCTCTTGCTACTATTTTAATCAATATTTCAGTAGTATATATGGCAGTGAAAACATGTCTGAGGAGGAAAGTGTATATTAAAGTTATAGAAATAAAATTATTAAAGAAACTGATACACATTTAGGCACATTTCTATCTTGTCTCTGATTTAGTCCCTGCTTGGAGATAAAGGTAGAAAATGTGAAGCAAAATAGGACAGGTTACATAACTTTAAGAAGCATCATGGGGACAAGATATCTTCTTGAATTTTAGTAAATTTTCCATGTAAATCTACAAACACAAACCTTCACATAAGCACATGATACTATTGATGGATGAAGAATAGCTCACATTTCCTTAGGAAACATTTTTAAGACTGTGTTTATGTTTTAAAGCAGGCTGGAAAATTTCAAAGCCTCACCATTTTGGCAGAACAATAACAACAAAGATTTTTTTCAGCCTGTAAAGTTTGCACACTTTGTATATTTATTCTGACAAATACACTATAAATGAAAGAAATCCTACAGAAAATTAAGTTATCACCACATTTACCCCAAAATGAAAGGAATTAAAATTACAGAACTTCTGAGGCTCCAGGCACATTTTCCAGACTTAATTCTGGAACATTAATTCAAGTTACACTGGATAGAGTGCACAAGTACAAAAGGAAGCAAAACATGACCAATAAATGGCTTCCAAGTGGGAACAACTGACTTAGGAGAGTCACCAGGAAACAGAGGAAAGAACAGAATGAATATTTATTCCTTTATAGCTTTTGCATGATGCAACTATAACAGACATTCAGGTTATTGCTGTAAAATGAGAGATATTAAGTTAAAATACTGCTATACAATCTCTCAAAAAGATTTAATACTCAAAAGGAAAAATGGGCCAACCACCTCTGTTACACCAGATGGCAAAATTAAGCAACACAGGAAAAAAAGGGCATATGGTGAGAGCCTCTAAAAGGCACTGGAGCTCCACAAAAGATTGTGTGTTATAATAACAATCCTCAGCCTAACTCAGAGGTCTATCTGAGAATTTTCAAGCCCCAGAATTAGATCACCGCATTATTTCAGTTTTTCAGTCCTGCATGTTAGCATCCTTGGCAAAATAGTGAGCACATGGCCATTGAGGTACTTACTCAGGCCAGGAGACTTCTGAAAGAAGCTGAGGGATAGTCATAGCCAAACAATTGAGTAACACAGTACATGTAATAATGCAAAGGAAAAATGTGAATAGTAAGTTAAGGAAAAAAATGCTACATTATAAACAATGAAGTTCATGCAAGTTGCTGATTTCCACACACAAAAACCACACAAGCATTCAAATAATTATTTTTCATTTGAATATGCTCAGAACTTTTCATGTGTTTTCCAAAGAAACTTATAACAGAATCACAAATTATCCTGAGTTGGAAAGGAACCACTGAAATCCAATTCCCATCCTTACACAGGACCATCCAAAGAATCCCCCACCAAGACCAAACCTTTTCAGCTGGGTAAAATACATGTTTTAAATATAAAAATGAATTATTTGCATGTGGAGACAGTTTTGGAAGTTAGGACACTAGTGCGACATAACATGTTTGACGCGTTCAGATATTTTCACCTAAAAAGACCTATTTCCACTAACCAATAATTCCAAATAAAAGTAGAAAAAGCAGAAATAGAGGAACAGAATGACATGAAATGACACAGAATATTTTAAGATTCAAATCAGGGAAACCAATGAAAGGATATGAATGGATCAGAATTTTAATTGCTGTTTTTCTGACTGGATTAAAAGGACCAAATATAAACAAGGCAGGTGCGGCAGTAAACCGGAAAATAGTCCTCCTTTTACTTATCACCATAAAAGTCTATAAAAAAAAAGGATTCATATCTATGAAACATTTAAATGAATTAAAAATTTCTGCAAAAATTATATGTTCAGTTTTTCAAGTCTGCATCTAGAGCTATATCTAACTGCAGGTAGAAATAAAGCTTTCCTTGATTCCTGCTTGGAGCTGTGACCTGATTATACACATTTTGAAGGAAAGACATCAGCTCTGCAGAAGTTCACTATTGCCTGAGAGGAAGAAGTCATAATGGGAATGAATATGAAGAGCAAGTAATCATAAGTAATTACATTACTACTCTGGGACTGTAACAATGGTCTTAATACCTTACTCTTGGACAGATTTATAGGCTACAAGAGATTATTTACAAGGTACACATTGTGTAGCACTGCCAAAATCCTAGATGGTCAAAGCAAAAATTTCAATATATCTCTGTATTGTCACATAACACTGCAAATTCCCTCTAAGCTACCTTAAGATCCATGTAGCTCAGTACTTTTGCCATATAGTAAAAATTAAATCTCTGGAATGAAAAACACAGTTTCTCAACTCAATCAACCTTAGTTCCTCTTCATCAATAGTATCACTTTAATTACTTTGAGATAAATCTATCTGGAAGACCAAAGTCTAAAGTATGTTCTCTGATAAAATTTTTACACTCCACTAGCTTGCTGGCATACATTAAAACAGCAACTAGGACTGGCTGGAACCTTCTGCTCTTCAGATCAAGTCTTCTTTGACAGTAGTAATTTAATTTAAGTATTTAATTTAGAAGGGATTCCTAGACTATCTGCTTTATACTCTGCTATAGTCAGTCTCACACACACTTTGGAATAGCATGGAGTATGTGCAATATAAATATGGAACAATAAACAAAGCCAGTGGGACATATAGTTTCAGAAAATTAATTTAAGACAATGCAAATACTTGCTACACCAAGTAATGGAAATATCTCAAATGTGTCTCCCTGCATTTGTACAGTGTAACTCAGTGAAAGCATCTGCAATTCCAGAGTGACTGATGGACAGGCACTGTTTATACAACAGGGAGCTCAGCCCCACAGGCATCAGAGAAATTGCTCTGGAAAACAAAGCATCATTAATCCCAGAACACATTTACTATTAAAGTGTACCAATCACATGCCATGTTTTCATAATTAATTTTAATTCTTGACTGGAACTTAAAATACCTCTTCATTCCATGATGTACCTTAGAACTCCCCCTAGAAGTTATCAGTAATGTTCAAAGGTCTGTCTATAGAACAATCAAACCCCAGCCACTCCTGAATGGAGCTTTTACTATCCCTTAAGATTTCAGCAGGCAAAAATAATATTAAAAAAATGCTTTGGGTAGTCTTAACCTTGTGATCACTGTAGTATGGATCAAAATCCTCCAGGGGTTCCCCAACCAGCTCTGCAGGAATGTCCCCATACAGAGATGGCAACTTTTTGCAGGTTTTCAGGTCAAGTTGAGGACTACGTTTTTCTTCAACTCCTTGCTCCTTATTCTTTCCTTTAATTTTGACTTCTTCCTTTTTTTTGTTGGCAATTCTTTCCTCAATTGCTGCCAAGGACTCAGGGGTGAATCGTCGAAATCTGTTAGTTTCTGATGCCCAAAACGAGGGATCCATTTTTCACTTCTGAGTGTTTGTTTCCAGCACTAGAGGTAACTTAAGAAAGAAAGCTTTTGACAATTAGAAAATAACAGAAATAACATAATATTAGATAAATTATGTTTTACTCCTCTGAAACTCCATGTCAAAATAGAATAAAATAGAATAAAATAGAATAGAATAGAGTAGAAAATGAACAGAGTATTTCAGTTGAAAAGAATCTATAATGACCATCCAGCCCAGATGCCTGATCAGTTCAGAACTGACCATTGTAAGACCTTGGACAGTGCGCAAGTCCCTTTTAAACACTGACAAGCCAGGGACATCAACCATCCATCTAGAAAGCCTGTTCCAGTGTTTGACCACCTTTTGGCAAAGAAATGCTTCCATGTGTCCAATATAAACCCCCTGCAGTGTGGCTTTGGACCATTCCCATATGTCCTGTCACTGAATCCCAGGGAGAAGAGCTTGTTCTCTACCTCCCCTCCTCAGGAAGCTTTAGAGAGCCATGAGGTCACCCCTCAGCCTCCTTTTCCCCAAAGAAGACAAGCCCAAAGCCCTCCACAGCTCCTCTCAGGGCATTCTTTCCAGCCCTATCACCAGCTTTGGTGCCCTCCTCTGGATACACTCAAGGACCTTCTCATCCTTCCTAAATTGCAGGGCCCAGACCTGCCCACAGTGCTCCAGATGAGGTCACACCAGCACTGGACACAGCAGGACAATCACCTCCTCTGACCAGCTGGTCCTGCTGTGTTTGAGGCACCCAGGAAAAAAAGCAAAACCAACTAGAAGTACATTGATTTAGAAGAATGAGTAATGAAAAACAGACCAAGATCAACTAGTTAATCTGGATCTACCCTGTGCAATTCAGGTTACAGAAGAGATACTTTTTCCTTTGTCTTTCCAGCTTGGAAGTGTCAAAATCACATCTCTATCACAACTCTGACAATCATCTAACTGTTTCTCACTGTAGATTAAAGTATCAGCAGCCTTGCACCTCAGTTACCACTTCTCTGTACTTCCCAAAAGCAGAATTTAGTTCCACATGTCCCACTTCTAAGAATCATCAGATCCATCCCCTCCTCTCTCATCAGAGTAAGGCCAACACCGAATTCGGCTCAAAGCTTTGTCCAGTTGCATTTTCAATTATTCTGCTTGAGGCTTAAATCCCTGACAAAGGGAAAGGGTGGCAATGAGAAGCACTGAGGTGACAAGGCAAACCACTGTAAGTATTCAATTATTAATGCCCAAACTTACCACACCACTGTAGATGACAGCAATTTACATGACACCAGTTCTCATCTGCAGAAGATGAAGAAAATTTTGACCCATTATAGAATGATTTGTCCTTTGTGACTCACATCAAAACTGATTACTTCCACTTAATAAACACTTTTGGTCACTGCCAAGTCTTTAAAACACGCTGCATTTTTAATTGCTGAGGTCCAGCTGTGCCACTACTTCTCATGAGCTGACATGTGGACCATGGTAGAGAATCAATACTCTCTTGCAATTACAGCTCTCCTCTTTAGATGCAGACATATTTAAAAGAATGTGCAATCAAGAATGGTTGTGCAATGATTTTGATGGGGTCTGTAGGACTTGGGAGGATATTTTTTTCCTCCTCTGGGACTTGCCAAGCATGTTAAGGGCTGAACTGCAGCTCAGAGATCAGCATTTACCATGGTAACAAAATGAAGGTATATAACCGAATAACTGTTACTTTGCCAAACCACACACACCCATTTCCAATTGAAAGCTCAAAAGATAAATTGAAAACCAAGATGTTATTTTTTTTTAAAAAAAATAATAATTCTAAGAAGATCAATTTTATCTTCAAAGAGGTTTTAAGGAAAACAGAGAAACTCAACTTTTAGGGAGCTACATCAACTGAAATAAATGAAGCAAAGAAAATGGTTTTAGCAAATACAAACACCATTTTAGTATTAAGGATTTCAGAGTAAAATAAAATAAAATAAAATAAAATAAAATAAAATAAAATAAAATAAAATAAAATAAAATAAAATAAAGAGACAAAAGCATTGATGAAGAGCAAAAAGACGCAACACATTCCCTTCAGCAAGTGTGACCAGAAGTAATAATTGGACAAACATTGATGGACATTTATGAGAGGATTTCTTCAGCAGATCTGTATCAGTAATGTACTTGTGCTCACATGGAACAACAGACTTGGCCTTTGATTAATTGTGAAGTATTTATAGATTGTGACTCGGGCTAGGAAAAAGGAAGCTAAAAAGATGTGACTGAAAAATCCTTCCAATATGAAGGACTAAAATGATATTAAAAAGACAGAGTGACTACATGGAATTCCTGAAGCTCAGCTAAACTCAGCCGCCTCACCATACACTGCTGAATCAGTTGAGTTTTTAAGGCAAGACATTAAGGTAAAGTGTTATTCTGAGAAATAATTTCAATTTTTGCATGGGTCACAAAAGTTTCCCCAGTAACCAATTCTGGGAGCAAAGATGCAGAAAAATTTTTTTTAATAGCAGCTTAAACATGAGATTTATTCTAGAAACTAGAGAAGAAACTTGGGTGTATGACTACAAATTAACAAAAAGAACTTGTAGGTCATTATGTCAATATGCTGCTGAGGCAGATGCAAGACTACAGTCCAGTTAAATCTGATAATTTCCAGTATAGCAAATGAAAGAAATTTGCATTTAAACTAAATTAAGAGTTGAAAATCCTACAACAGGTTTTGATATCTCTGGTCCTGTAGTAGAGATCAGTCCATGAATAACAGATAGAAATGCACTGGTACCTTCAGTTACTAATGTACCACTTTCTACAGGATCAGGGATGCATAATCAAACCTTCAAATTCAACTTTTTCTTTCAAATTAAAGTGGGAATTTCTTGTTTCCTCTTGAGAGGAATTGCTTTCAGTGTACAAAGTTAGGCATTGTTTGAGGTTACTCTTCATGGCTTAAGGGTACTGCGAAAGTGACACAAAATATTTTTATGTCAAAATCCAAGGAATTCCAGATATACTGATGAAATTTACTGAACAAATGACCTGAAAGGTACCTGAAAGGTACTAGAAAGGGACACTAACAAAGTGTTATTAAGTGAAACAGACACTGGGCACTACAAAAGTACAATTCACCACTAAAATTTCTCTAAAATTTCTTAAGACAAGGGTTTTCAGACAATTTTCTAGAATAGCAAATCAGTGTCAAAAATTAGCCTATTAATACAATGTTTCAGAGACATGAATTACAAAATTCTTGCTGGGGTAATGACTAATCACTATAGATGATAACTAAAAAATTTAGAATTTTAGATTGAAAAGCAAAATACAAATTCAAGCCTTATCTACAACTCCTTGATTTGGCTCCACCTGTATGAATTTCAGAACTCTTTTCAGCTCCCTAAAAGCACAGAGTTTCTTTTAAATGCAGCGAGGTAATAGCCATCAAACTATTGACCAGAAGATATCCAACAATCCACAAAAGTAGGATTGAAACTGATAAAACTGCTCAGTAAAATTCTATCAAAGTCAGTAAGGGGCATTTATGAGATGTTTCTCAAAATAGGAAAATTAGTAGGAACATAAATATAAAAAATGTCCTTATTTGTGTTTCAATCTAATTTTAGCATGGATTATAACCAATTCTGAGTGCCAAATTACTTCTATCAACTCCCTTGTCGAGGACCACCCATTGAATATTTCCTATGAGCACCTGGATCTAGAAAAAAATAAAGGGTAAAGTAACTGCTAGTTTGGTTTTAGTGTGCATTTAGTATAGTCTTTCCCACAGGAATAAAGAATAAAGATGTGTTCACCTCTTCACATGAAATAAGAAAAAAAAGTGAAAAAGCAGCTCACAGCAACACCTTATGAAACAGGACAGAAACTCCCTGTTTTCTGTTCTGTATCTTATCAAAAGCTTCTGCTATCACCTACTCAGTTCCAATAAGCAGAAAAAATGTTCTGTTTCTGATCACCATTTCCTTCTGTTTAACTGTCAGTGATGGTGAATAATTTAACAGGTTTTAGTCCTTAGTAAAATCCAGCTTGGACTTTGGAGGACTACTGCTGTTTCTAAAATACAAGGCCATTTCTTCCACCCAGCACTTTGTCCCCCACTCTCCACTTCTCACTCATCACCCCATCTTAATGAAAAGTTTGTGTTTGGATGGGTTGGATAAATATCTACCATCTGTTGGGTTTTTTTGGTGTTGTTCGGTTTGATTTTTAACACAGGTAATAGACATTTATTCACAATATCAATAAATTATTTAATGATATTATATGATATATGATATATGATACATGATACATGATATTATAATATATAATTAATATAATATACTCACTCATTACTTCCAAAATCAGAAGTCTGTGTAATGGGCTAGACTGTGCATTACTTAAACATCCTGAAAAAAAATCACTCACCAGTATTTTTGTGAGAAAAATATTCCAAACTTGTATAGGTAAAGAAATTTTAGTATGTCAAATTCAGTGTAACTTAGATTAGATAGTACTAAAGAAAATTTGAGGAATATTCTGCATGAGGTGATACAACAAAACAGAGCAGACAGTAATTAATATGATAATAATTAATATGAAAAGAAATAATAGTAATTAATATGATAAATATATCAATGCTCAGTAAAATGTTTCACTGCAACATGTAAATTGTAGGAAGAGCTACATGTTTACAGCTATGTAGTGTTCTTACATTAATGACAGATGTTCTTACATAGATGCTCCCTGTACCTAAAATAAAACCACATCTAATACTTGGAAATATGTCTGCACATATTTTATTTATATAAAGACACACACACACACTTTTATACATATATCCCCAAAATTTTGATCAAATTAAGATAATCAGCAAGTGAGTTTTCTCATAGTATACAAATATTTAGCAAAAACAAAATACTTACAATATCCCCTTCAAAGTGAAAAAGGCTTCACACTGATTTCTGAAGGTAATGTTGGCTGGCTGTTATCTCCAAGGAGACAGAAAGTCTTGGTTTTCTCACCTTCACCTTTCCATTCCCAACAACATCATTTCTCCTGAGCCGGCTCCCATGCAGAAAGTTTTCTTTGTAGCGGGATGCCTGTGGGAGGGATGGAGGGAGGAGCTTGGTTGCTTTTCTGAAAACAGTAAATGAAATTTTGTGCTCTCACCGACAGCACTGTAAGAAAGGGAAAAGTACTTGGGTGATACTTTTGAAGAATAATTCCCTAAATATTAATCAATTATTTTCTTTCTGCTGAAATCATAGCTACATTTATTAAAAGCAAAGATGGATTTTTGTTCAATTGCAAATAAAGGTGTACAATAGTAAGAAAGAAAAAGGTTTCATATTTCATATTTCATTCCAAGCTTTTAACCATGCTGACATGCATTAAATATTGGCACAAAATTTTCCTTTCATTAAGGGCTTTTAGTTAGAAATTAGAGTATATATTACTATTTTTTCATTTATTAATTTCCGCTTTTTATTATTCCCAGGATCTGATGTATATTCATTATATCTTTTAGAGACAAAATCTGAAATTCAAATATGCTATCTGTTATACACCAGACCAGAGAACAAAAAAATTCAATAGCACATGCCATAACCTCCATTAAACATACAAACCTTGTTTGAGCAAAATGAAAATATCAGCATTTATCCTCATATCTGAAATTACTTATATTTATTTTTTTTAAAAAGTGATTTATAAAGCCTGCTAGCAACAGGTATTGGACACTAACACACACCCACATTCATGGGGAGCCCTAATGCTAAGTACAGTTATTTCTCTTAATTACATCAACAGAACCCATTACTGTTTGAAATTTCTTTTCTTTATTAAGTAGAATATAAATCTTTCTTATCATCCTTCCTGGTGATAAGAGAGTTACTCTGGGTTTTGCTAGAAGAATTCTACTGAAGGAACTACACTGTCCTTAAAAGCCTGACAGCACTAATGCACACAAAGAAACAGTGATTAAACATATTTCTGCATAGATACAACTGCAGATGGTTTTAAAAGAAATAAAACTTTAAGTGTTCTGGTGGTGCAAGCAGCAACAGGACATTTTAAGTTCCAGTGTAAGTTATTTTTCTAGAAAGCAAGATTATGTTCTCAAGACAAGTTCAATTAAGAGAGCAGAATTTTAAAGATCACTCAAGCATCACTCTATAAAGGCACTACAACTGCTACATTTACAATGCTGTACTAGATAATACCACTAAATGCAATAAAGATCCCTACCTGCACGTATTTATTCTGCTGTATCTTCTCCATCCATCTGTCCCTGTGAAAAATGGGGCACAGGGGATAAACACAGACCTCAACACAGCAAAAAGAATTGCACTCCTACTGTACACGGTAATGTTTAAAATCCAAAAAGCGAGAGCTCAGAGAATAAGTTTTTATTATCTTCAGCAGTT